CAGTGTATAACCTTCCTTTTTTACCGAAAATTCACTACACCAAAATTTCTCGGGAAAACACTTTTTCTTATTAATTTGGGTGCGTAGAATCCAAATCAATTTGTACTTTTTCGATCAGACTTCTCAATCAAAAGTTATAGACTAGAAACCAAAAAAAATTCAAAGGGCTGTAACTTTTGAACTAGTAGCCCAATCTTGGAACTGTTTGAAATTATGGATTCTACAGGCCACATTCTATAAGAAAATTTTTTTTCCAGGTCGATCTGAGACAATTTTTTCTTCGGGGCTCAAAAAAAGGCAGTGTATAACCTTCCTTTTTTACCAAAAATCGACTACACCAAAATTTCTCGGGAAAACACTTTTTCTTATTAATTTGGGTGCGTAATTTGGGTGCGTAGAATCCAAATCAATTCGTACTTTTTCGATCAGACTTCTCAATCAAAAGTTATAGACTAGAAACGAATTTCGAAAAAAAATTCAAAGGCCTGTAACTTTTGAACTAGTAGCCCAATCTTGGAACTGTTTGAAATTATGGATTCTACAGGCCACATTCTATAAGAAAATTTTTTTCCGGGTCGATCTGAGACAACTTTTTTTCGGGGCTCAAAAAAGGGCAGTGTATTACCTTCCTTTTTTTCCGTCCGTAAATGCACTGCCCCCATATTTTTTATGGCTGGTTTTCATGGATCTGTCACACAAATTTTCCTCAAGGGATATTTTACAAGAAGTGAGTTTTAAAAAAGGTTTTAAATGAGTGTTAGCAGGAATTTCAAGAAAAAAATTCGGAAAAGTTTCAAAGGAATTTTAATGAAATTTTAAATAAAACAAAAAATTCCAGGAAGTTTAGAGGATCCAGGGTATCTACGAAAACTAGGGATTTAGGGTATTTCTAGGAAATCTAAGGGATTTCGGTAAGTTGGAGAATGTAGGGAAACTAGGGTATCTGGAGAATTTATGATATTTAGAGAATCTAGGGAATCTCAGACGTCTGAGGAATTAAAAAGAAATTTGGGAATCTAGGAAATTACGGTATTTAAGGAATCTAGAGAATCTGGGAAACCTAGGATATCTAGGAAGTAATTTAGGAAATCTAGCGCGTTCACATAGTAATAGGGAATCGGGGTTCTGAGGAATCTAAAGAATATTTGAAGTCTAGGAAATGTATGGAATGTAGGAAATCTAGGGAATCTAGGGTATCTAAGATCTAGGAAATCCTGGGATTCTGGGGTTTCCAGGAAATCTAGGCAATTTAAGTAAGCTAGAGAATCCAGGAAAAAGAGGGAATCTATTTATTTATTTATTGCCCCTCTTGTTCTAGGCCCAGGTTCAACCTCCGGTTTTGTAGCCTAACGCTCTACCACTGAGCTACAAAACCCTTTGTAGGAAATCTTAGGAATCTAGGGAATCTACCATATCTGCAATCTAGGGATTCTAGGTAGTCTAGGGGATTTAAGGAAAGTAGGTAATATAGAGAACCTAACGAATCCAGGGAATCTAAGGGATATATTGAATCTAGGGAATTTATTGAATTTAGGCAATCTCGAGAATCTAGGAAATCTAAGGGATATATTGAATCTAGGGAATTTATTGAATTTAGGCAATCTCGAGAATCTAGGAAATCTAAGGGATGCATGGAATCTAGGAATTCTGGAAATTGTAGGGAATTTAGTGAATCTAGGAATTCTAAGTAACCTGAGGATTCTGGGAAATCTAGGGAATCTAGAAAACCTATTGAGTATATAGGGAATTTAGGGTATCTAGTAAATCTAGTAAATCTAGAGAATCTATGGGGGTATGAAAGCTTCAACGTCTACAACGATTGTGATTGGGTTTCAAAAAATGCGAATGAAACTTTTAAGAGATGTTCAAGAAAAACTCAAAGCCTCGGGAGTTTTAAGAGAGGTTCTTAATACAGTGATTCTTAAGTTCTTCTTTAACTTTCGTCAAACCAAAGCGGGGATCAGTGTCCAAAGCCTCGAAACCGAAGTTTTCCCGAATACACACAAAGGGAAAGTGAAAGGTCTGGACGATATATACCACTCAGAGAAGTGAAAATTTGCCCGAGCATGTGCTGCCAGAATTACCTCGAGCAGGTTTGGGTTAATCTCCCGGGTTTGATTAAAATGAAAATTTTCAAAAGCAAAAAGCACAAGATTATTCTACAAAAGGATCGCATATAAAATGCAATTTGTAACTCGAGCTGATCCAGGTGTTCCAATTCCGTCCTTATTATTCCCCCCCACTCCTGCCCGAGATCAACATTACAAATGCCCAACGTCCGTAGTATAATTTAAGTCGTATCCCACACGTCGCATAACACATATTTGGTGTACCCGCCGGAACCGTCACCTCCGCATAACGTTATAGCGTGTCAGGGAATCCGAGATTTGTCGCTGTGGGTATTTCGCTCCCGAAACGGAGACTGATTTAAACCTTTTTATCTCGACGGTGCTGTGCGCCTGGGAATGTATTCTCGCCCATATCACCGTCCCGCTATTAAAGCGCTTGCGGTTGCATAACTGGCATTTTAGAGAGTTGGAAATTCGCGTCTTGAAATAGGAGACGACTCTTGACTAGAGAAATAGTGGTAAGCACTCGGCTTTTAGTGTAATGGTGTTACACTAAATTTCCTTGGCGTACGTTGTTTACAGCATAAGGTAGTTTCCTTTATTCTAACCAAATTTGTGTTCGCCTGTTTTGCCCCTAAGTACGTTTAATACACGCTTGACTTCCCTTTATTACACGAACAACACTATAAGATATAATTGTTGATAAAGTCAAGTGAAGCTCGAACTATATGGCGTTAGTAATTAGAATGCGTCTAGCAACTTCACAATAATTTAATTAGTATTAATACTTAACAAAGGATGAACTTGTAGAACCCGCACAAAAGGATGCGTACGTAACACAATATCGTTCTGAGTTTGACGTTTCAACCACTACCAACCCTCCTATCTACCTACCACCGCTGTATATCTATCTAAATTAGCTTTTCTATACAAATTGACTCCATTGTCTCTTTTACTTGCTTCATGATCACGAAACCGTGAAATTCGCTCACCACGCCACCACTCTTGCTTCTCGTTCCGTATCAAAATACTCCACTCTTGTCGACAGATGATGATGTGCATTGTTCTTTCCGTCCACCTTGCCAACGTCTCAATTTACCGTAAGGATTAGTATCGTCTAGATAATCAAATTTGGGGGAGGGTGGTATTAATTTATTACAATGTAACTGAAATATTTACGTTGCTTAAGTGAGGCGGATACGCACGTTTCAATTAATGGAAAAAGTCAAATAAACGTAAACTCAACCCCGAAAGCGCTCCTTTTCCTCCACAGAAGCGGGTAAACTAAAAGCAATAAAACTCATAAAACTCTCGAGTACGTGAATTGAACCCGAATATGTTCGTAATGCCGCGATATTGGTTGAATTCTCGTTTTTAAGTGTGCGAAAGGGGGGGCGGGGGTGCCGCGGTCACAATTAAGGCTGTCGGATTTTTTATGTAAACAAATTGCGGCTCTATGGTAATTTAACTGACGTAATCTGCGAAAGTTAATCAAAGTATACGACGCCGAAGGGTCATAAGTAAATCTTTGCCGAGTAAAAGGGAAATTAACACCTACCTACAGTCATTAGGCCGAGCCTCCCTCGCAAAACGCTTAAGTCGCATGGGAAAAATATTTCACCGCCCCCTTCCCGAGCCGTCAAAGACATCTGTCCAATATATCACCCTCTTCTTCCTTCTTTTCAAAGCCAACTTTTATATTCTTATAAAGGTAATTACGCAAAATGGATTAAACTTCCCTTTTCTGTTTGTTTCAGTTCGCGTCTTGGCGTCAAAGGAGACGGCAATTCCAATATCAGTTTTAGATGCCACTCCGGATTTTATCGGGCAAATTCAGAATGTTACGGTCGCTATTGGAAGAGAGGCGATATTAACGTGCAGAGTTAACGACCTGGGACATTATAAGGTAAGACACTAAGATTTTTTGTTACGTGAACGTTCGCAATTTATTTTATACTTCCTTCGCCTATGGCATAATTTTGATTTATTTTTACCGCACAACACCTTAGGGAAACAACAATAATATTTCACTAAACTGAGCTCGTAATTACACTTTCGAATAAAGATCTCTTTACGTGTCCGAGTTTCTTCAAATTCTTCCATGTCATTGAATCTTTCAATTGCTCAGATTAAATTTTTTCAGTTTTTTGGAAGTAGAGCAAAATTCTGAAGACCGTGGGAAAATATTTCGGCAGTTGGCGCGGGTCAAATGATGCCAATTGACCCAGGGTGCAAGATCTCCAGCATCCAAGTTGGGTCCAGCAACTTAGATGGGTCCAAGATGACGAAATACCGAAATACCCCCGGGCCAACCTCCGAAATACCCCGGGCCAACTATTAAAGCACCCCAGGTGCACTGGCGAAATATGTCACCCCGGGCCAATTGTAAAATCTCGCGCCCCGGATCAACTACCGAAATATGGCACCCCAGAATAACTGCCGAACTTTGATCTTGCACCCCGGGCCAATTGTCAAAATTTGACCCGGGCGAACTGCCGAAATTAGTCGAAATATTTACCCACTGTCCCCAAAATTTTCCCACGCTAAATTCTTCCATGTATTTGCTTCACATTTTGACAATTCTTCAATTTCTAGAGCTTTCTTAGAATTTTCAAATTCTTCTCTTCTGTTTCTTTTGTAGGATCGATCTAGATCTAAGAGATTCTTTAATTCTTCGGATACTTTGACTACATCGAAGGCTTCGGATTCTATTGTATTTTTTCAACCTGCGCTTTCATCACAATCTTCCATTTCCTTGTATCTTACAATATCTCAGCTTTAATTTCTTCTGATTGGTTTAATTTCTCGAATTCTATTTCTTTTCTTCAGATTTTCATATTAGATTAGATTAGATCGGATTATTAGATTCAGATTTTCACAGTTCTTCAATTGCTTCAACTTTCTTGGATTTTTCAAATTTTTCAATTTTTTGAACTCTCTGAAATTCATGTTGGCCTACAAAGCTTTGAAGCTATTGAGACATTGAAGTGTTTTTTAAGATTCTTAGACTTTTACCTTCTGGAAGCTTCTGGATCTCTTGCTATTACAATTTTGCAGTTGTAGCTTTTGTTGGTTTTGAAGCCCCCGAAGCTCAGGAGGCCCTTTAACCTCTTGAATGTCTTAAACATTTTAAGGTTATTGAAATTTGATGTAGTTGAGGATCCTAGTTTTCGGACATGGTGAAACTTTTGGAACTCTCACAAAGTTCTTGCAGCTTTTAAGTATTCACGAAGATCTTGAATCCCGTAAAATGCCTTAAGCTTTTGAAGCTCGTGAAACTGATTTTCCCCTGGGAATTAACAAGGAATTTTTAAGATTCTCTGAAAAAAAGGGTACGTGTGGAATCCAATAGTCACCGGAAAATGTTGTGAAAGAGAATTTTAATCACGAATTTCGGAAACATACTGTTAGCATCCGTTTTAGTCGTGCCTTTACTTTTAAATGGACGTATAAAAAAATACTAGTACATTTTAAAGGAAATGCGAAAAATTATACCAGTCACTTACATCCTCCACACTTTAAAACAGCTCCAATTACGTTTAGATAAAAGACGACCTGTTAAGTATCTTTTCATTAAAAGAGTACTGCAAAATGCTCACTCGCGTGAATCGGTCCATAAAATTACTTTGAAGATTCATTTTTTCCCTTCTCCGATCCGAGTAAAAATTAAATTTGTCAGGTCGAGCATGCAGAGAGAGCTTTTCTTATTTTTTGTCTATACATTTTTTTCTCATGGCTTCACCGCCCCTACACACCTGACGTACTCTGCTCGTAGCGGCGGAAGAAAATTCGCATCGTCCCAGAAAATGCGTTCTCGCCCTTTTTTAAAAGAGATGCACTTACGCGCGCTTGATCGATGTGCAATTAACCTTCCGTGGCGTGATTGATTGGATTAATTCTACGCGAATGGACCAATGGGATGCATTTAAGAACTCAACGAAATTATATTCAGTCATAAAGGGATAATGATAATTATTTGTACATTTTTCCGTCTCAAATTCAATTTTGAGGTTTTCATTTTTAGGAAATAAGTTCCAGAAAAAATTTTGAAGTGCAATTTTATGATCCGATAAGAATGAATAATTTGTCATTTTTTAAGAGTAACGTTTTCTTTTTGCATACCCGATAGTATCTAACCTGACGAAAAATCCCCCCTCGCAAAGGCCACGACCTTGACCCTCACAAAAAGTGGTGGGGATGGTGCCGGTATTTCACTCACGTTATATGGTGTATAAAAGTCTTTCTCAAGTTTCATTACCCTTACAAGATTCGAGTTTCAAGGACTTCAAGGGGATTAAAGTGTTAAGAGCTTCGGGAACATGGGGAGATTCAAGAGCTTCAAAAGGATCACGTCTCGAGACCTTTTTATGAGCTTCAAGGGCTTGATAAAGTCCAAAAACTGCATGGTTTATCAAGGGTTAAAAAAGCTATACTAGAAATTTTTAAAGAGTATTTCAAGGGATTAGGAGGTTCAACAGCGCCATGAGCTTCTGAGGCTACGGGCGCTGCAAGAGCTTAAGGAGCTTCAAACAATTTGAAAACTTCCAGTTAGGGAATGCAATCCCGCAGCAAAATCTCAATCCCGGTATTTGCGGGATTGTTAGATGTTAATCCCGCGGGATCCCGGTACTTGCGGGATCTCGCAAAACTTTAAATAAATTGGCAAATAAGCAATTCTGTGCGGTTATCTTCTGTATTAAAATAAATCGCTCATTATCACAATATTTAACAAAACAGTACCTTCGGCCTAACTTAGAACTCAAAAAACCCTTACATGTAAAGCATCTAAAGTGCCTCAAAAATCATAGTACATTTTTAACGAAAAAAGTTTAACAATTATTTAAAAAATAATTCGCCGTTATCAGTTTCATTAACAAAGTAAACAGAGTCGTCCCTTGGTCGACAAATTCCTCAGTCCCGCAAATCCCGCGGGATCCCGCTCCATTTATGTGCGGGATTAATCTCGCAAAAATGCTGCGGGATCCCGGTATTTCCCTACTTCCAGTGCTTCAGGATCATAGGACCTTCAACTCTTTTAACAGCTTCAGTTGTTTTAAGAGTTTCTAGGGTTTCAAAATCTGCATCAGTTGTTTTATTCCATCCCCACCCCACACCCCCCGGCACTATGTTTTGTGCAGGGGGGGGGGGGCTAGCAAGGGGTCTGGATGCTAGCAAGGGGTCTGGGTCTGGGAAAATCCGGTGAATACTTCGGCTCTTAGCAAATCTTTATCTGAGTTATTTACCGAGCCAATTTTAGCTAAAATCTTTTCCTTTGTTTACCACCAGGGGTTGCCTCACATTTCGGAGCCCTAATTTTTATTCAGGTTTTTAAATTTGGGCTAAATTTAATATAAATGCCCTATAACTAAATCGATTCGAGTTTTTTCTTTCTGAAAGATATACTCCTTCAGGAGGATACTAAATTTTCTCCAATTTTTACATTTATTAAATAAAGAGTTTTCCCAAAAGTCACGCGCTAAATACACAATTCCAGGCGTAACCCCTGTTTCCTTCTGAGAGAGGTGATTATCTTTAAACGTCCACGAAAGTAATACAAGTCAATTAGTGAAATCCGTAAGACCGTTTAAAATGGAGCGACGTGCTTTTTTCTTAATTATGTCACGTAGGTCAAATAATGGAACGGCTTCTTTTCCCATTTCGCCCATTTTAACTTGTTTTCCACGCAAACAAATTTCGCCCGATCGGATTACTATACACGATATGACTGTGAGATCTTGTATTTTCGTTTCAGGTCGGCTGGATGAAGGCGGACGATCAAACCATTCTGAGTCTGCACACTCGTGTGGTCACCCACAATCCCCGCATTACGGTGACCAATGATGACAACTTCCGCATCTGGCAACTGCACATCAGACAATTGAAGGAGACAGATCGCGGGTGTTACATGTGTCAGATAAACACCAATCGCATGAAGAAGCAGCTCGGTTGCGTTGATGTGCAAGGTATCTATTACTATTTACTCTTTTAACTTTGTTTATGCAGTTCGTAGTGTAAATGCGACGGTTGTTCGATCTTGGGGTTGGGGTTAATTCTAAATACGAGTATACAATTCGTTCTCTCAAATTTGCGAATCCAATTTAACAACAGAAGTTATCGCTTCCTCATTCTTCCCCCAAATAGAGCTTTTGGCGCTTAGGTATACCAATCATTTTTGAAAGGGAACCATTGAATGTAACACCAGGAGACTATGGGGTGGAAAATATTCCTTAGGAAGGGACGATCTGATGGTCCTTTATTGATAACTATCACGGTAGCCGTAATGGCTGAACACTTTGAGAGAGAATGTAGGACCGGTGGGTCTGGGGGGTATGGAATACCCCCCAGCCATTTTTTCTACCCTACGAAAATCTCAAGACAATTGTAAGAAAAGGAACATCAACTATTTCATTTCCTGGGTGGTATTCGATACCCCCAGACCCCCCGGTTCCGCATTCGTTTCCGAAGTACTTTTTGCTTTTCTCTCTTATACCCTATTTTTGAAAGGGAATCATTAAATGTACCAGAAAGCTAAGGGGTAGAAAATAGTCCTTAGGGAAGGAAGATCCGAGGGCCCTTTATGGATAACTATCACGGTAGCCGTTATGGGTGAACACTTTGAGGGAGAATGTAGCACCGGGGGGTCTGGGGGGTATGGAATACTCCCCAACCGTTCTTTCTACCCTACGAAAATCTTAAGACAATTGTAAGAAAAGGAATATCAATTCTTTATTTTCCTGGGGGGTATTCCATATCCCCCAGACCCCCGGTTCCACATTCCTTCTTGAAGTACTTTGTGCTTTTTTCTCTTACACCATAATTTTTGAAAGGAGACCATTAAATGTAATACCAGGATCCTATGGGACAGAAAATAGTCCTTGGCAAATAAAAGCCGAGATCTGATGGTCCTTTATTGATAACTATCACGGTAGCCGTTATGGGTGAACACTTTGAGGGGGAATGTAGAACCGGGGGGTCTGGGGGGTATGGAATACCCCCCAGCCATTCTCTCTACCGCACGAAAATCTTATGACAATTGTAGGTAAAGGAATATTAACTTTTTATTTTCCTGGGGGGTATTCCATGATGGTCCTTTATTGATAACTATCACGGTAGCCGTTATGGGTGAACACTTTGAGGGGGAATGTAGAACCGGGGGGTCTGGGGGGTATGGAATACCCCCCAGCCATTCTCTCTACCGCACGAAAATCTTATGACAATTGTAGGTAAAGGAATATTAACTTTTTATTTTCCTGGGGGGTATTCCATGATGGTCCTTTATTGATAACTATCACGGTAGCCGTTATGGGTGAACACTTTGAGGGGGAATGTAGAACCGGGGGGTCTGGGGGGTATGGAATACCCCCCAGCCATTCTCTCTACCGCACGAAAATCTTATGACAATTGTAGGTAAAGGAATATTAACTTTTTATTTTCCTGGGGGGTATTCCATGATGGTCCTTTATTGATAACTATCACGGTAGCCGTTATGGGTGAACACTTTGAGGGGGAATGTAGAACCGGGGGGTCTGGGGGGTATGGAATACCCCCCAGCCATTCTCTCTACCGCACGAAAATCTTATGACAATTGTAGAAATAGGAATATCAATTCTTTCTTTTCCTGGGGGGTATTCCATACCCTCCAGACCCCCCGGTTCCTCATTCTTTCTCGAAGCACTTTGTGCTTTTCTCTCTTACACCATCATTTTTGAAAGGGGACCATTAAATGTAATACCAGGATCCTATGGGACAGAAAATAATCCTTGGCAAATAAAAGCCGAGATCTGATGGTCCTTTATTGATAATTATCACGGTAGCCGTTATGGGTGAACACTTTGAGGGGGAATGTAGGACCGGGGGGTCTGGGGGGTATGGAATACCCCCCAGGCCCCCCGGTTCCGCATCCTTTCCTGAAGTACTTTGTGCTTTTCTCTCTTACACCATAATTTTTGAAAGGGGACCATTCAATGTAATACCAGGATCTTATGGGACAGAAAATAGTCCTTACGGAAGGAAGATCCGAGGGGTCCTTTATGGATAACTATCACGGTAGCCGTTTGGGCTCAACGTTTAGGGGGAGATTGTAGTACCGGGAGGTGTGGGGGGTATCTTTATTTTCCTCTCGTGTACCTTATTCGATTCCGTATTCACTGCTGTTGGCACTTACACCACAATTTTTAAAAGGGAGCCACCATAAACCCAAGGAGGTGAAAATATTCCTTAAAAAAGGAAGATCCGATGTTGTACTACTACAAGTAATCGCTTGGTTGCTTTGATCTGTAAGGTATCTTTTACTATTTACTGTTTTAACTTTTAAGCAACTTTTTGTATGCAAATATGACGCGGGATTAATTGTGAGTGATACGCCGCCCGTTGTATTCTTTCGTCCTCTACATTTTACGAACCCCATCTAACAACAAAACATATTCAAGTTGCCAGACAAACACGAAGGGCGCCAAGAAATTAGATGTAAGAGAGCGCCCTTATTATGCTTAAACCCAGAACATTTCTAAAAACTTTCCGACAACAGTCCACCGCCCCTTTTTTGTCGCCCTAAACGCGAGACTTACAAATTTCGGTGCAATTCGTCATCCGCTTTTAAAACTGGACAACTGCGCGAAACGAATCCTCCATCACGAGCAGATCCGTAAGACGTCCCGAACGAACGGAAAAGGAAAGAGGACATTCATTTTTATGGACTTATAAAGTTAGGAGAATGGTTATAAGCTTTGGGATACGTTTATTTTTTATAAAACCACAAACTCGCGCAGCAATTGCACTAAAATAAGGAGAAACAAAGCGCGGCGGGCATAAAAGAGAACAAAAGCGCTAGTGGGTTAAGTAATAACATTTTCCAGTAATTTAAGGTTTGTTAAAATATAGCAACACATTATTTCGGATGTGCGTAAGTTAATCTCGCTCTCACTTATCTCGCTGATGTGTGCTTAAGGGTCGGAATGTGATCCTCGCGCCTTTATTTCCATTGGAACAAAACGAGAAACGATCCGAGGGCGCCCAAGCTGCTGACAAATATTAAACTTCGCACACTAAATTTTCTAACAAGCACACGGGCACGCTGTTACTGTCAGCTGCGGAAGATTGATGGGAGAAATATTGTTATATATGCACTTAATATGAGACGCCTAAACTTTTTTGCTTTAACGACCTGCCAATTGCTTGTTTACTCCAAAAGCCTCGTTAAAAAGTTAATGCGCGCTTTTACTCAAAATTTAGACTTAAACAATTAAGGACGCTCGCTTTTATCTTCCTTGTCAGTTCCTCTCATTTAGTCGAACTGCTTTGAGCGTTTTCCAATTGTTTGCGATCATTCTCATTTCATTCGTGTTACGTGCTCGATTCCATTTCAAAAGGTATTTCCAATATGAGATGCAAAACTGACACTGTATAAAAGGGACGCGAATTCTTTTTCATGCCGCCTAATGAACTGTAGTTTTATAAGAAACGAACTACCGCGCCGAGAGTATTTCGACGGTACTAATCCGTACGTCGTTGCTATGATTCGCCGTATAAATAAGATTACTACTCCCTGGAAAACCTCTACGGGTCACGTTTTTTGTCAATCAAAGCAAATATTCCGCATTTCCGGCGAACGCGGCCTTTTCATTTAGATTAGATATTTTCGCAATCGATTCGTGTGTCTCAAACGCTTTCGAAAAAACCAGTTTAAGGAAAGTGCTTAGCATTTACGCCGTGCCCGCCTAGTTTTTGGTGCTGTTGCGTGAAAGAGGAATTTTTAAGGTATGCACCGCAGATTTAATTCTTAAGTGCTCGCTGTAGTCACTTTTGATGTCGCATATTTTCAATCGCGAACGTTTTCGCCAACAAAGGGTTTCTCTTCAATAGAGGAGTATTTCGATTTAGAGTACGTTTCGTTTGCAAACGAAGCGCAAACGGTTTCGCCATGAGAGTTCTCGGTTCATTTGCAATTGAAGGATGCGTTAATGCATAGCAAAATGAAATGTCTATTGCCCCAAAAGCTCATCAGAGAGGGGGCAAATAACCGAGAAGTAGGAGTTCAGTAGGAAAAGTCTTGATTGTGTCTTTGAGAACGGGATTCTCTATTTTGTTGAAGTATTTTTGTTGGGCGTCGGAATTCTACGCATAAAGAACTGCTTACTCTTGCGCAAAATACCAGCTACCAGATAATTTGTCCAATCAATCACAGATAGATGTCCCCCCAGTCAGCGGAGAGTGCCCTTTGGAAAATACAACTCAATAATTCCATTTGTTTTCGTCCTATCACTTTCGTGGTATTCTTTGGGAAAGGGTAGTCGCATCCTCGTCTGCTGGGGGATATTCCATACCCCCCAGACCCCCCGGTACTACGTTTCTAGGGCAAGACAGTCGTATCCTTTTTCCTTCACGGTATCGTGCTTATAAGTTCTATGGTATTTGCTCGAGAAATATCACGTAAGTGCTAGCACTAAACGTTTTTGAAAAAAAGCGAACCACCGGGGGGTCTGGGGGGTATGGAATACCCCCCAGGCACCAGAGAGTGCCCTTTGGAAAGTAGAACTCAATAATTCCATTTGTTTTCCTACATTCACTTTCGTGGTATTATTTGGGAAAAGGATAGTCGCATCCTCGTCCGCTAGGGGGGTATTCCATACCCCCTAGACCCCCCGGTGCTACGTTTCTAGGACAAGACAGTCGTATCCTTTTTCCCTGAAGAGTATTCCGTCATTCACAGTATCGTAGTTCTAAGTTCTATGGTATTTGCTCGAGAAATATCACGTAAGTGCTAGCACTAAACGTTTTTGAAAAAAAGCGAACCACCGGGGGGTCTGGGGGGTATGGAATACCCCCCAGGCACCAGAGAGTGCCCTTTGGAAAGTAGAACTCAATAATTCCATTTGTTTTCCTACATTCACTTTCGTGGTATTATTTGGGAAAAGGATAGTCGCATCCTCGTCCGCTAGGGGGGTATTCCATACCCCCTAGACCC